CTCTATGAGCACACTGTCACACTGAGCTAAAGGATCCTGTCTATCCCGCAATATACGCTGAATTCTGAAAACTCTCCTTCCACAATTGGTGGCTCGCGTACAAACGGACAGGACATGGCTGCGACAGACTTCCTAAATCCACCTTCGCTTTTATAGCCGTGGTCTCTCATCTTGATTACACGAAGTAATTTACCATTACTACTCTAAAATATTAATTACATCTGCAATAATCAAATACAGGAAATAGAATGATTAATAGTACATTTTCCTTTTTTTAGGAAATGACCTGTATGTATCTGCATGAAATCAATAAAATAATCAAATACTGCATTATCTTTAGTTACATTGATAATATTTATGGAAAAACAGTGGAAAAATATCGCTGTTGCTTTCGTATAAATGAAGCGGACATACCTGAGTGGCCGCGATCTAATCTTGTTTACATAAAGTAAACCTGCTCCCGAGCAGGTTTACGCTTACGGATCTGTTGCTATGACAGCAAGTCCCGGATGAGCTTCGGAGAACCGAATGATCCAAGATCACGCGAAATCGTCAACAATCAAATCCAGCTAACTTACTTAGCGAGGTACGAAGAACGGACCCCAGGATGCTAGGTGCAGTGTTGACCTTTTGTTACCTAGTGGCTACACAAGCCAGCAAGTACCAACAAACGGATTTGGTGTGTGGTAATAACAGGTAAATGTTAAAGTTTTTTTTTTAATTATTTGAATATATATGAGTGCTTGTGTATAAATACACAAACAATACACATATGCTTTCAATTGTGTAATGTAAGTGATCTAGGTAGCTCTGTTTTGGAAGTTCAGTTCATGCTAGAAAAGTGTTTTGGAGTTTGTACTTGCTTTGGAGTTTGTACGTGCTTTGTCTCTAGTGGCCACCGTAAATATTTATATATAAACATATATAAATAAAAACACTGTTTTTTACATTAGTAATTCCTTTTGTGCATAATTTTATATTATTGTTAATAATAAATCAATTAGAGCAACAAAACAACCCGAAGAGCCGGTTCTTTTTAGTGAGCTGAACCGGAAATCCCATCACTAGTCCATCACTAGCAGCATGCCAGCAATTTGATTTCTTTCTATCACTATTTACTCTGAACAACCCATTAACACTAAATAAAGACAAGAAATCACAAAATATTAAGAGACAACATTTTATTACTGTCAGCCTTAAATATGAGCACACATTTTTCATCAATAAAATACATATGACCAACAACTCTATACAACTACCTTCAAGTAGTATTTACTGTAAGTGACCAAGTAGTATTGGGTAAAAGTTATTGAATAGTGTTGAAATAAAATGACAAAATTGCGAAGGATTAAAATATTCCAAGAGCTCAATTTACTTCATCTAAACATGTTTCAATCGCGTTTTATGAACACAAAATGCACAGTTTTATTGAATATGAAAAGTTGTGTCGATTTAACTCAGTTGTTTAAGTTTCTGCCAAAGCAAAACATTTGTGTGCAGCCAATGTCCACTATTGAATCAAGTAAATCAAACATGGCCTTTTTTCAGTGTAGGGTAGAATTTTAGTCATGTAAATAATCCAAAAATGAATCCCAACATATTGTGAGACAATGTCATGAATCTGCTAAGATAATCTCCGGGCAGTTGAGACAGATGTTTGTAATTGGTCATATAAACATGAACATGCAATGCTTCCAAAATACAAATCTTAGTGGGCTGTGATTCAAAATTGGCTCACAGAAACAAAAAAATTATGTGTATCCAGCACTTCTCAGTGCGTTTTCATAAATGAATGCTGGTGCAGGATCAGAAATATGTATTTCTAAGATCCTCTGCTCATTCGCCTGGATTTTGTCATAGGTTTGGCTTGATTAGGACTTGCATATAATTTTTTTTAAAGTCATGCTTGGTGGGAATTGGGAGCCACTGCTCTAACATAGTGCAGACACACAAAAAATGCAATATGCCTGCCTTCAATTTGTCTGAGAGATTAATTGTTACTGTGGTTGCTTATTTCCAATTTAAATAGGTGTCAGCTCCTGTTGTGTTGAGTTTGCCTGAAAGAGATGCATATTATGTGCAGTTGCTGAAAGAGCATAGCATGTGGAAAAAGAATCAATTTTAATTCAACTCGTTTCAGTTTATTTCCATTTACATAGCGCCAAAGCACAAAAACTACCACAATCATCTCAAGGTGCTTTATACTGTATATTGTAGAGTAAAGATCCTACAACATTAAAGGGAAAATCTCAATAATCTGCCAACCCCCTAAGTGTAAGCACTTCTTGAAAGTGGGATGGAAAAACTCCGTTTTAACGAAAGAAACCTCTGACAGAACCAGGCCTAGGGAAGGGTGGCCATCTGCAATGGCTGGTTTGGGGTGAGGGGAAAGAAAAGATAAAGGGCAAAGAGTGACAAGACAAAAAAAATATTTAAATTATTTTCTAAAAACTAAATGTAATAGTGCAGTCTTTCACAATCAGTTTTTGACTTTTAATTACTAAAGGGAATGCTTTCTTAAATTAAATTTCAATTTAATTCTATTTTATTTATAAAAAAATGACATTTAGCAAAACACTGTAATCATCACACAAGGTCAGACTTCTTACTTAAAGGAAAATTCAGATGTATTTCAAACTAGTGTAGTTCCTTTGAATGTCCAAGAATTGAAAATTAATTAAGTATCAAGCTAATATAGCTATGATTTGTCACTGTTAGCCAGTGCTGCCTGTGGCTGTATTACAGGAAACAATCAAAATGTTGTTATTCCAAAACAGAAACCTGCAGACAGAAACATCGTGAAGCTGTTCAAAGACTTGAACAATCAAAATAGTCTGCAAAGATGAATATAAATACGCCTGCATTAAGGTTAGCTGGAAGGTTATCCAAAACACATGCAATTTCTATTTTAGCACAAACCCTTGAACCATAGTAGTCACATTAAAGGGAAACATTAAAAGTTTAATTACAACAGAATTTGAATTAAAGTGAACCTAGTTAAGAACAACTGGACAACATGAGGACAAAGAAAGATTTTGTTTTGGTTTTTCAACTAAATGTGCATTAAATGGGAAATTAGCTGTGTTGTGTGGTGCAAATCATTACACTGCCTCGCAACATGCAATTTGACTGTCTTTATTTAACTGCTCTGCAAGCCAGCTTGTCTAACCTTGAGGCTGACAATGTCCATAATGCATCAAGAACACTGGCACTAGGTAATACAAAAGACTTAAAAAAATCCAAAATAAGCCTGTAAAGAGGCAGCATGCATAGGTTTTCTCCACATGCTTTTCCCTTTTCTGTGTTTGGAACAACAGGGATTTGAGAACAATGAAATTAAAATTACCTTTTCCTCTTAGCTTTGTACATCTCAGACCAACACGAAAGCTTTAGAAAATATAATCCAGTCGGATTTTCAACAATGATCTGACAGGCATTGACTCTTCTCTATGTCATCCTCTGATCATGGATGATACTTATCGTTCCCAAAAAGTTGTGTTCTGTGCCTTCTGGGGGATTTTTGTTTCTTAGAGGCCTTGAACTTCTGATCTCATTGGCAGAATTTTAGGAGTAATCCTGTTTTGTCTGCATCTGAGGCTGAATCTCAGGTGGTTCCTGGAGTCAGCCATCTTACTTGCTGTTTTCTCGTACTCATGTAGTAGCTTTAGGCAGTCTTTGCCAAAGTGGGTTAAAATGTCTTGATGCATCCAGGTAAGGAAAACCACCAAGTCATTGGCTCAGGTATGTGGATGACAATCTCAGGATGTACCACAATTCACTGATCACATTAACTCGGTAGACAAACACATCAAGTTCACAAGGGAGGATATGAAAAATGACAGACTAGCCTTCTTACACTGTAAGATTTTCATCAGTAATGGGGGTCATTTAAAAGTTGATGTGTACCGTCTACCTACGCATATGGATCAGTATTCAAGGTTTAACTCTCATCATCCACTAAAGCAAAAACTGGTTGTGATCAGGATGGTACAACATAGAGCGAACACCATCCCCACAGATACAGCAGCCAAGGAAGCAGAAAAACATCATATCAAGATGGCCTTGAGTAAATGCGCCAAAAACTGGTCTACCCCAAGGATCAAATCACCAGATACAAACAGAGTAATGTAGTGTACGCTGCTAAGTGCCAGAAGAATTGCCATGATTTATACATCGGGGAAACCAAACAACCTCTGGCAAAGTAGATTGCACAACAAGAGGTAACTCATCAGGCCAAGACTTTGCAGTCTATATAATCCTACAGGCTGGTGCATACTCTTTCCACTAACCTGTAGGATGAAGCTGTAGCGGTACACATCCTGGACAGGGAGGAGTGCTGGTTTGAGTGGGGAGTGAAGGAGGCCATTTACGTGAAAAGGGAAAGACCATCTCTGAATTGAGGAAGGAGCCTAAGGGTACATCTTTCGCTATCTTACAATGCTGTGATTGCAGCCATTTCCCAACTCTCTATGAATGGTACTGATGGCCACTGATCAGTTGTCATTGAAGAATAGTCTTTGGTCTCTGGTTGTTAATAAATAATAATTTAATAATTTCAAATATATTAATAAAAGTTCCTAGAGGTCATCCAAGGTCACCCAGCACCTTTCTTTATTGTGAAAACATTGTGAAACATAAACCATGATATTTTTATCATGATCACAGTCTCGAAAGTAAAAAAAAAAATAGGTTCACCGTAATAGTTAAAATAGACTATGCATTAACAAAATACAAATTAATCAGAACAACATAGGTATTTTTTTTATTAGAAAAGGTAAATACGGGCTTTTGACCTTGAAACTTTCATTAATGTTCTTACAAAAGCATTACAAACTAACATTTTAGAAGCACAAACCAGCATAAATGTTTGCCATCAATTTTGTTTGATTTGAAGAAGGTGGGGTCAGCTGAGACTGAAGAAGTCACTTGGATGAGTGACGAAACATTTCTCCCACTGAAAGCGTTACGTCCACATGAACAGAATCAACATTTGGGGATTTTTTTACCTGGATGATTAAGAATGCATCAAGATTTTTATCACATTCTTAGCTCAGTGTTAAGCAATTTGCAAAATTTTATCCATGGTGAGAGATCTTACTACAAGTTCATAAACAGGTGTATTTGATATAAAAAATTTGTAGAGTTCTAAGGTCATATTTTTAATTTTCACAGTTTCGATTACCTTGTGAGATAGTGATCAAACTGTACATGTGCTACTAAGTGTGAGCAAGTACTCAGCGGCAAATGTACTGGAAAATCGAAATAAGACTTTCAGGTGTTTATTGCTGCGCTATTAAAAAATCTGGCTAGATGATAAACATTTGCTTATAGGTAGTATTGAATGGATCACTGCAAAAACTTCCCTGTGAGGTGATCTGATGTGAGTCCATCTTAAATGTGGTGAATCTTGTCATAAAATGACTGTGCAGGATAGACGTGTGATTGGTAGTGCCTTCTTTCAACCCAGGATGGAATAATTACCATGTCATTTCCAAACCTTGGAGTGCTAGAGATAAATAATGTTCTGCAGTCTCGCTCTGTCCCTCCCTCTCTCTGATATGTGAAAACAAACAATGATTAGCCTGTCAGATTCAGGTCGTGATTATCCTGATCAGTTTCTAAAACGACCCGTTTCATGCCTCTCTGATTTGGATGTTGGCTCTTCTTTTCACACCAAGGAGTGAAAAGGTTGTTATCCCCAAAAACCATAGAAAGAAAAGAAAGATAGAGGTAGGGGAATGTGGATGATGGACTAGGGCCTCAGTGGTGCTCACACAAGCCAGAGGGAAAAGACTGAGAAAGGGGGCAAAAAATGTATATTAAAAGAACAGAGGTCATTGCTTTTAGGTGTGATGAACGTTCAGAAGATAAGAAAGGCAACATCTCCCATTTTTAAACAGACATAGTAATTTGTTTTAATTCACTGTTTTTGTTTGTTGCAGTGTTAATGGAAACCTTCAATTGCAAAACTCTGATAGAAACTGACAGTAAAAACAAACAGCATTTTGCAAGGGATGCACAATGTCTTAAAACAATCCCTTTCATTACAAAAGCCAGTAGTTCAACACCAGATGTACATTTTTTGTTATTGTCACTAAATAACAAAAAAGCATACCCATGTTAAGTACAGTCTGCCAATTGGTACAAATCTCTTTTCAAACTGAGAGACATGAAAGAGAGAAATTACCAGCTTTAATTCTTCCTGTCATTTTGTGAGAGGTTACAGATTGTTGCATAAAATTCTCATGCTCACAATGAAATATGGTAAAGGAGGTCTGCTGATTGTTTGCTGCCTGTGACACTCTGCCTGCACTGATGTTTGTCCATATTGAAACATATGATTTTCAGGTTTTCTCATATATTCTGTCTTTTCTGTTAATGCAAGTTATATATCAGGTGATAAGAACTGTTGTGGCCTATTTGCTGAGACCTTTAATCAGTCTCAGTTATTGCAGTTGGCTTGCATACTCTACAGTAAAGTCTAAAATTATTAAATCTTCTGACCAACATCTCACAATCTGACTCCTATACTGTACATTTTGGTTTAAGAGTATCAATGATTTTGTATTTTACTCGTGTCAAAAGACAACACATTTACTCTAAAGGTCTTCATGAGTCTACCGATGTCAGTAGATCTCTATAGGACTGGATAATGGACAAAATACTAAAGATGGGTCTTAGCCTATAAGTCTAAATCGTGAAGTGGCAGCAAAAGTACCTTAAATCTGCTTTCATTCTAATAGGCTAAGAATAATTGCTTAATTTATAAAGTCCAAATCAACAGAAGTCTGAAAGTCTTTACTGCAAAAATGTTTGCTAATTCAACCTTTTTCTTATAAGTTTATGGTCTCAGTTCCTACTTTCAATACAGCTTCAGTCTAATATGATCTTCACTTTGTGCATTATAGTTTAATTTACAGATAATGATGAAACAATGTATGCTTCTACTTACTATTGTATGGTAGTGAATAATTTCCTCAGGTTGTCAATGAAAAAGGAACTCTTAAGACTGCAAATGAGCAATTATGTCACAGTGGCATAAATGCTCATTTGCAGTTATGCCACGTTTTACATATAGTCTTTATTTCTGACCTTTTTTTAACCCAGGTGTTATTTCTATATTATTTCTGGGTCAATATTAAAAAAATAAATAAGCAAATTCACTTTAATTCACTGTGGTACATTTTTGCACAGACAGACATTTTTGTACCCATGAAGACCTCTAGTTTACTCTGAAGTTAATGAGAAGACAATACTTAAAAATCAGGGTCTTTGTTTGGTGATTTGAAAAACAGGAAGTTTATGAAATATAGTCTTTGGGTCATTTGTGTCTAAATACATGCAGAAAGAGTTTATTTTGTGTTAATCTACTCAAAACGACTGTTCTGTAACCCCCCAGTGCTGGTTTAGAACATAAACAGGAACAATTTCTAGAGCATGTATACATGGTATGATATTAAACAAATATCAATAGCATTAATAGGTCTGCATTACTTAAGTCAGATGTCCACTCCATACAAATGTAGCTAACATTCCCTCCATCTGTAAATATTAAAGTCTAACATAATTATAATTATAATAATCTTGACAACATTTTTGTATACAACCAGTACGAGTAAAGAACAAAAAATGACAAAGAGATGAAAGTAAGGGGTTTGTCCCAAATAATTACAAGTTCATATTTCCCGTTCTTAAAAATATTTAAAACTACACATAATTGAAAAAATATAATTAAAAAGATTAGCATAGCACAAGTGCAAATATATCACTATAATGGTGTGAACAAAAATACTACAATTCTGCTTTCAACAACCAGACGAAAGGATAATTATTACACATTAAAATATGATAATACCAGGTTTTCAGCCGCAGGGCAACCTTGTGTTTGACTCTTTCAGTTTAATTTTGAGGTATTTAGAATTCACTTCTTATATTTGCTGTAAATTTGCTGTTTCCTGGAATAGACATGAATATTCAGTGTGGTTAAATTCAAGACAAATCCATTTGATTAAGAGACACTTTTTAAAAATAAGAGACACCATTTTAAAAATCTTTTTTTTAGAATCACAGGTAAAAAGAGACAATCCAGAATAATATGATTCAAAGAGAAAAATATCCAACAAAATTCAATTAAAAGGTGAAACATTTGTTACATCCTTGAAATCTCAAAAAAAAAAAAGACCCTCAATGACATACTTGTTTAGCGGGTCAACATCAATGCAGTGCAGATTAAATCATGCACTTAATGTGCATCAGTTTATGGTTTCAGTTGGAAAAAACAAAAACGCACACACACACACTCCCACGCACACACATACACGCATACACACACACACGCAGGTACACACACACACAAAACACTGGAGTTCAACTCAATTTATCTTCAAAATCTAAGCAGGAAGGACAGAATCATAATGAAGAGGAGACAGTTGTGTGAGTGCACACTCATTGCACCGCCGCTGCCATCCTGAACTGCTCTCGGTCCTAACAGGAGATAGAATGAGGAAAAACATCTGGGTAAGTTTCACCACTAAGGAGTTTTCTTCTTTTGGTGTGTCAGTACTTAAAAGTAAGTAAAACCTCCCGTCTGTGAAAAATCCAGCATTACAAACATATTTGTGTTTTTTTAAACAACAACTTAAAGAGTAATAAGAGCTGTAACAGTTATTATGGTTTGTATGTCATCTTAATAAGATGGCATGAAGACAGAATTTAAAGGTCACAGTACTGCAATTTTGATGCAGAAGTTTTTGCTACAATATATTAGAGTTCAATTTTAGGGACACCTGGTTGTGTCTTTGATGGTATGTTCCCCTGGGTTATCTTGCAAACAGTTTTGCATTCATAACAAGAAACAAAATGTCAATGGTTAATATATCAGCAAAAATTCAGTACACACTCAGCTGACGGAAATTGAGAATGTGCTTTAAAAAGTTGTTTGACAATGCACACCCACAGACTGTATGGCAACAATTATGTTTTAATACTGATAAAGTTAACAATGACTTAAACCAAGAGCCTGAAAAAGTGACTAACTGTATTATCTATACCTTCTTTTGTTTCGCCACAAAACATAAGATTTTTTAAGGTTTAGAGTTAGGAAAAAGAAATGCAGGATATTTGCATAGCGAGAATCTGGGAACACAGTAATTAACACTGTAACTGTCAGGAGGAGTGATTTTTACCCCTCAGTTGATTGTTTACATTTTAAAATTGATCTCATACTCAGCCTGTAGTAATCATTCTTTTTGTTTTTTTTAATCTAACTACAGTCACCTATATATTTATTTATCAGTCACATATAACTAGCTTTTGGCTGATGTTATAACAGTCAAAGGTGGGTTCTAGGTAAAAGTGGACATTTTGTTTTTCTTTTGATCTCAAACATTCCAAAATTCCAAATTTGATAAATAATCCCCTTTTTTAAAAAAAAGTCATGAAATTTGAGACAATCAGGTTTTATTTTAACCCTTTAAGACCTGCCATAGAACCAAGTCCGCCAGAGCTTACTTTATATTTTTACATGCTGTAGTGGCATTTTTGGGAGCATTTCAAGTATCTATACATCAATACAACTGTTATAGCCCATATTTTAATAATATGTATGCATTAAGTCCATAGTAACTGCATTAATTGAAAAAAAGTGCAATAAACTACAAAAAAATAGAAAATCGTTTTTGTTTTTGTTTTTTTACATATATTTCTACTTTAAATTTAAGAGGCTTTATCCCTGAAAACTTTAAATACAAAAAGTTGCAAAAAATAGTTTACAACAACAGGAAATTTATTTTGAGTGTCTTCATAGTTTTATTTTATGTTTTTGTTCCTGCAAGCGGTTTTTATACAATTTTAAGGTCAGGTTTCATATGCAAAAAAATTTATTGCGCTAGCTTACGCAGTTCCGGTTCTACAGGGATTTAAAAATAGTTACGCAAAACAGAACGTGCCCGCTCCGACCGGCCTTAAAGGGTTAATAGAGTTACAGGATTCTGAAAATGCCAGAGGGTCAAAATATCCATCTTGCTGGTGTTAAAAAGTCGTGCTGGCTGAAGTTTTAAGTTAAAGCAAGTGATATATGCCATGGATCCTACTTTAAAGTACAACACAAGTAACAACACTGTCAAAAAACTATATTTAAAGGAAAACTCTTCAAGATGACATGAACTGCTCAAAGGTTTAGTAGGATAAAAATGAACCGTGCTCAGCAAGGTTGTTTTTTCAAGGACATTCTTAGGATTGAGAAGTGATTTAAAACACTTATTCAAATTGAAATGCAGTATTCCAGCACTGATATTTTTAACACATTGCTAAAATTACCAAAGTATTGCATGATGCATTTTATGAATACAAGCATGTAATATTTTCATCATGCCCTTTTTGGGGATGAGGCAAGTTCTAAATGAGTGTATTATAAAAGGATTTTGGATCATTTTTACATTGAAATTGGTAAAACAATGACTACTCATTTCCCTTGGCTTTCCACAAGTTTCCTTTGGGGGCATGTATCCAATTATCCTTCCACAGTGGATTATTCCTAATCCTCTCTACTGATAATTAGAATAATGAAAATCACTCATAGTCATAGTCCAAATCAAAGTCATTAATACAATTCTGTTATGTGAATGGACTGCTGGTTGCAGTCACAAGGACAAATCAAATGGCAAAGTAGGTGTGGTGTTTATCTCTGCAGTTTCACACGTTAAAGTGCTGGACCTCAAAATGTGCACAGATTCACACAAGAAATTTGCAATTTTGTTTGGTTTTCTTCTGTAGCATGTACAGTTGAAATGCAGCAAATATTGGTACAATGGATCACAGAAGAACAAACAAACATGATAAATACTTACATTAGGAAAAGCACATGCAAAGAATCAAAATGAAGCCGATGTCACACAGAGAGGCAGTTAGGTTTGAGAAGAAAAAGATGAAACACAGTTAATGAAACAGACTTCATTGACCATTTTCACAGATTTGCATATGTCACTTTCCTTTGCTGCTCACCGTCCTCAGAGATCCTGCATACCACACAAGAACTCTAACATGTCAATTCAATAAAACCACAGAGGGTTAAAGTGCAATTTTGACTGGTTCAAAAAGCCAAGACAAATGATTTCACTTTTTTTCAAATGTAGCAGAGACTCATCGTCTCTGAAATTCTAATGCAGCCTAACTTACAATTGTGAAAATGGCAATGTTCCACAGGCTCCAGCATGCAATTAATACTATTGATCCTCGACAGCTGACGTTCATGCTGGTGTTGAATACTAACCTTGCAAAAGTGTTGAGCTAGTGGGTTCAATTACCACTATACCAGGGAAACAAATTGAACAGAGCAACGTGTCAGAAACAGAAAAGCAACATAATGATATCAGTTTCAGACAGTTCAACTGACAAAACAGCAGCAACGCATAAAAGCAACGGTGGGGCCCTAAAGGCAAAATGCTTTGTTTTAAGTACCACAAATAAAGTAATTTTATCAAAATTTTAAGAACAGCAAACATCTGTGCACTCTCCAAATAAAGACCCTTTAACAATGCAATATGTAACAAGGACCTTCCATCAGATTTGTAAAGAATTTTTTTTATTATTATTTGAATGGCCGTCTGTCATATAAATAATTTTTAAGGCTTTATTCAGACATTGCAGTATGATTTCAGAAAGAATTTTAATGCTTACATGAGAACAGTGTATTTAAAGCTCACACAGGCTTGACACAGGCTTAACTGATTTCCAAGAGTTCTATAGACTTATATGTATAGCACAGGTATTTATTACCATGCAATTCACACTACAACCTGGTTTGCCTCTTACCTGTAGTTATTTTTATTTTATTTAATAACTGTACAGTACTCTCTGTATATAGTAACCACTGTCCTTAATGTAAATATGTAAGAAAAATTGTGTATGTTTCTGTTCCGTGTCCAGTGTACTGTTTGTTTGTATATGTGTCTTTTTGGCTGCTGTTACAACCAAATTTCCCCTTGTGGGACAATTAAAGGATTATTCTATTCTATTCTATTCTAATTATTTTCCTTGTGTGTGAGCAGAGAACTCAGGAGCCACACACACAAATAAGCCATGATTGTGCACACGAGGGTGTATGCTCAGCAGTCCCCTTAATTTGCTGTATAATATTACACATATATTATCATGACAAAACAAACAAACAAAGCCTAACCTGGGATCTAACAAATTATACAAATTAGAACTTTAGCCAAAAAATAGACTTAAACATGCCAACAAAACGTTTATCAGTCTAGTCCCAGAAGTGGCTATTCACTCACTAACTATATTCTGGCCTTATTTTTGATGGAAGCCATATTAAATAAGCAGAGCAGATGAAGAGGACATGATGTCAGACACAGGAACAGCACAGTGAATCCAATACATTTTCAAAATAAGAAGCAACTCTCCACTTCTCAAATTTTTCTGGTGAGATTTATAACTTCACAGAGGACAGAACAGTGGAGATAGTGAAGTTAAAGACATGCACCCAGGGTAGTACTTGGTTAATGAAACCGTCTTGGACTGTATTCGGTGACTTATTCTGCTTTGCAGCCTTGGTGAGCTCAGTGTACAGTAGAGCTGGGCGATATATCAAGTTTTTAAAAAATATCGATAAATTTTTATACGAGATATAAGATGTGACCATATCCTTTATATCGATATAGTCTATGTTACGTTATAATTATACTTGCGGAGCCGCAAGTTTGCCTCTCTTTCGTCCACTTTCGTCTTTATGCAACGTTACTCGGCCTCGCCTCTCCTTCACTGAACACAACTCCCCCTCCTCCCCCATCGTTTCACCTGCCAATGACAAGATGAAAGAGGAAAATCTCCGTTAGCATCGCCCCGTGCGTGGGGCTGGACGGCGTCAACGTGTTAGCTAGCTAACCACGCTAACGAGCTAACCACGCTAACGCCATGCAGCCCAGAGGTGCTGCACGGACTAAAATCCTTTCATTTTCTCAAAAGTTGACAGCGCGCCTTATGTATGAATTCTGGTTGTGCTTGATGGCCGCGAACCGATTTTATGTGGAACACGGCGCTCAGCAATCTGTCAAAAAATTTTTTAGTACGACTTTGGTAAGCTACGGAGCTGCACCGCTTGATGGATTGTCGGAGCATTACGGCTGAGCCTCGCGGAGTGATACGTACTGTGCTTCAACGTAATATTACCCTACTGTGTATAAGGACCATAAATGGCACCTGTTAAGAGACGTGGTTGCGAAGCGGATTACAAACTCCAGGCTGTCAGTCACGCAGTACAAGTTGGGAACAGAGCAGCTGTGAAATCTGTCTTTGTTATTGTGCTCAGCGTCTTTTAGTTTACATTTTGACTGCACATTTGTGAGCTTTTTGTTATGCACAAAAACAACATTGTTTTCTTTTATTTATGGAGCATTATTATTTAATAAATGCTCATAATTTATTTTTGAGTAAATTTTATGTACATCTGCTCTATGTTAATAAAAGTGCCTGTGTGACATCTGGGACACAGCTTTGACTAAGAACTCTCTTTTTGTTCTTACTTTATGGCTTTAAAAAAATATATCGAGATATATATCTTATATCGCCATCCAGCTAAAAAATATCGAGATATGAATTTTGGGTCATATCGCTCAGCCCTAGTGTACAGTACATAAAAAAATTCTCCACTGGCTGCAGGTTCTGGTTTGAGAGGCTCCACAGCAGCACAACAAGTACCATCTTGGGCTGTAGAGTGCAATTCTGGTCACTACATGTGACAGTGATTAAAGACCCAGCTTAGTGATAATGAGGACCACTGCAAGAGTGACCTGATTAGCAGCAACTATCCATCCATCCATCTTCTTCCGCTTTATCCGGGGCTGGGTTGCAGGGGCAGCAGCCTAAGCAGAGAAGCCCAGACCTCCCTCTCCCCAGCCACCTCCTCTAGCTTATCCGGGGGAACACCAAGGTGTTCCCAGACCAGCCGAGAGATATAATCTCTCCAGCATGTCCTGGGTCTGCCCTGGGGCCTCCTCCCGGTGGGACATACCCGGAACACCTCACCCAGGAGGCGTCCAGGAGGCATCCTTGTCAGATGCCCGAGCCACCTCAGCTGGCTCCTTTCGATGTGGAGGAGCAGCGGCTCTACTCTGAGCCCCTCCCGGATGGCTGAACTTCTCACCTTATCTCTAAAGGAGAGGCCAGCCAACCTTCGGACGAAGCTCATTTGTTCTTTTGGTCAGTACCCACAGCTTGTGGCCATAGGTGAGGGTAAGGATGTAGATCGACCGGTAAATTGAGAACTTCGTTTTTACATTCAGCTCTCTCTTCTCCACGACGGACCGGTGCAGCGTCCGCATCAGTAATCCGCCTGTTGATCTCCGGCTCCCTTCTCCCATCAATCGCGAACAAGACCCCAAGATACTTGAACTCCTCCACTTGGGGCAGGAACTAATCCCCAACCCGGAGTGGGCACTCCACCCTTTTCCGGTTGAGAACCATGGCCTCAGATTTGGAGGTGCTGATCCTCATTCCAGTGCGAGCTGGAGGCCATCGCCCGATGAAGCCAACAGAACCACATCATCTGCGAAAAGCAGAGATGAGATTCTGAGGCCACCTAAGTGAAAGCCCTCCGCCACTTGGCTGCGCCTAGAAATCCTGTCCGTAAAAATTATGAACAGAATCGGTGGCAAAGGCCAGCCCTGGCAGAGCCCATTACCCACCGGGAACGAATCCGACTTATTGCCGGCAATGTGAACCAAGTTCTTGCAACGGTTGTATAGGGATCGAATGGCCCGTAGCAATGGACTAGACACCCCATACTCCCGTAGCACCTCCCACAGGACACCCCGAGGGACACGGTCGAATGCAGCAACTAAACATCAAAATAAAATGACTGCATACAACAACGTTTGTACAAATCTAACATATTACACAATCTTAGTTATAGTTCCTGTTGTCAAGTATCATAAATGTACTTACCAAACAGAAGGAAGCTTGTATTTGAACTCCCAAGTGTGTTGATGGCAACACAGGTGTAGTTGCCATAATCTCCATCAGACACATTAAAGAAGGTCAGCTTTGATCCTAATCCAGTACTGACAATCTCCATACCATCAAAGTCATTAAAGATCCTAAATGAGTGAAAAATATCAAATCATATCATTCATGTTTTCTTTTTGACTTTTTTTCCCACACTTTTTAAAAAAAAATCAGTTTAGATAGTATTGGGACTATAAATTTCACAGCAGATCATTAACCATCAGTAACTTGTGTGCACACACACACACACACAAAGGCACACGCACATATTCACATACCTTTAATTTGTCTATTTAAAATGCAAATGTAAGACCAATTACCTTCTGTTATCTTTGTACCATTCAAAATCTGCCTCAGGCACTGCATCAGCCTCACACTCCAGCACTCCTCTCTGGCCCAGTGTCACTCCAACATCTCTGCCCTCTGACACAGCTGGAGCATCTACAACCAGACAGAAACACACAGGGATGTTGTGTGTGGGAGTAAACGGCAGCACAAGCATTGATAAGCAGGAGACAGAGGTCATGGCATTTTCCTGTCTTGACTCTATGCCACAACTACAAGTGAACAGATAATATCATTCAAATTATACATAATACTTAGTACAGTACAGATATTATAATATAAATAATAGTTGTTAGCTGTATGTCCAAAATATAGGCAAATGTGCCCAAGTAGTCAGCTACTGCTCATGGGCCTTTCAAACTTGCTTTGATTTCAGGGCTCTCTGTGGTAACTAAAAAATGATAACTACACACAGACAATATGAATAATAACTTGTACTGCAAAAATAAAGTAAAACAATGAAAATGCCACTTGTGATAATAAAGTATAATTCAATGCCACAAAATCAGTTTTTTGTCAAATAGGCCAAAAAGCAACATCAATCATTATTACTAAGTGCTAATGATTTATATAGCATTTGGCATTTAGGTTTGACAAATGAACCAATGATTAAGGTTGCAGATTAATTTCCTGAAAATCAGCTAATTTACCCACAATTAAACAGAAAAAGGTAAATTAACCATGCTACATGCATTAGACTATTATTAGATATAGGTTAATTTAATAACAAAGTAGTTCTAATTTGAACGTATCTTTCATTTAAAATAGCACATACTTCCAGAGCACATACCCCTAACCCTAACCCCAGTCAGCCAATCATGTAGTAGTAGTAATAATAAATAAAATCCTGTAGATAAAGGTCACAGGCTTCAACTAATAACCGAGTCAGAAATCATAATGTGATCATAAAAAAACTCCAACCAAATCAGTAGTTCTGGGTAGTTGTTCTGCAGATGGAAAAGCTTTTATGATTAGAGAAAGTTTTGAGGTGTGCAGACATGTAATTCATCGTGACACGTGAAGTAACATTATACATTATGTAGCTGAAGTAAACTGTGGCAACTATAGTATAGTAAACAAAAGTATATATACTGTCTCAGAGGAAATAAAACACATTCATGGGGAGCATATTGCTCATAATGTGCATAAATTGGGCAAACTGGGGCTAAAGATGGATGTTTACTGAACTTCTTCAGTGTGTTTACTGATGCTGTGCAAATCTGGCACTGTCCCTGACTTCACTCTACATGATTTATATAATTATGTTATCACCAGCAAATCAATTATACGAGATCTGAAGCCCTACAAAAGTTTGGATGCTTATCAGTATTTTCTGGGCCAGATTGTCCAGTGGGCATTATGGGCATGCAATCTTAAACCACAAATTATCAAAAAGTAGATATGATATTTTTTATTATAAAAATTGGCCAAATACAGTAGTCTTTATTTAAATACAGTAGTCTAGATTCTATCTCTCCCTTTTTCATCTACATTGCTAGTGATCTCTCCCTAAGTCAACTAGCTAGTAGATGCCACTGCCATGCAAGCTAATCTTGTGGTTAGCAGCTCACAATTAAGGTAAATCTATATATGACCCAAAGGTTTGAATGGCTCTAAATGAAGAAGCCAGGCTTTCCTCATAACCCAAAAAGCAAGTTTACAGGAAATATTTCTGTTATTTCTTCAACATTCATCTGGGAGCAAGACTGTGGCAATGGCAAGAATTGTTGAAAGGAGGTAAAAGATGAGAAGATCATAAGGAAAACAGACAGACAGAGAGAGAGAGAATGAAGGAGTAAGATGATAACAGGTGTGCATGCAAAAACTTTAATTAAACAGTATTTTCATCCTTTTTAATTTAATGTAAGTTACTTTAGAGGATTTAGCTGTCACGACCTGCGGGATCGGCAAGGCACTGATCATAATCTCCCCACTCCTGGCTCTCCTTTTCTATCTCTCTCTCCCCCTCTCTCCCTCTCTCTCCTGTTTTGCCAGGGCTGAAATCATGGTGGGTTCACGCCCTCGGCCCACGCCTTCCTGGATTGGGAACACCTGGGCCTCATCAGACCAACTGGTATTTTAGAGGGAGGAGGTCAGCTGTTCAACGCTGGATTGTTGTGAAGACTCTAGTCAGTACATGTCGAGCCCAAGTTTCCCGTGCCTCCGTCTCAGAAAGTTAACATGTGTCTCTGTGTTCTAGATTCCCCGGACCCGTCCCCATGTTTCCCTGTGTGGAGTGTGGAAGGAGTGACTGGTCACTAGCAGAGAGAGAGGTTGTAGTGAGCGTGTGTGTGATTCCCCTGTTTTCCCTGGAGCCCTGAAACCCGGCCTCTCACATCTTGTATATAGCACTATCCTCGCACTGTCTGTAAATACACTTGGTGAAGATCTTGTAAATAAACAGTCTCTTTTAAAACACAACTCCGGAGTCCTGCGAGTGGATCCTCAGAGCAACCCATGACATTAGTAAAGTTGTGTTGTGTTTATAACTTTTTTCTCAAAGATACAGCCTTTGCATTTCAAACTATTCTGTGTACTATCAATATGTCTGATTATTGCAGAAAGAAATCTTATCCTCAAAACAAGTCGGCTAGGGCCCAGAAAACATTTCTGCCCAGGGGTCTGTAATTTTATGATCCAAGTATCTGGGTATGTGTCTGAGTATCTGGGTCAAGATGGGTAACAAGCAAAAAAGCTGAAATACTTTTTCAAGAAAAAAAAATCAAAATATGGAGATTACAGTTGATGTTTCAAGAAGGCAAACTACCACTGATGCCGTATCGGAAACTTATTGTGTACTTTTTTTTTATTGTGTCGCTAATACTCTGTCATACAGGTGAATTTTTAATGATATTCATATTTTTCTGTTTTTGCCTCTGTTACTGAAAATGTGTTTTAAGTGGATCTAATGAGCGTATCCTCACACTTAAAAAATAAATGTGATGTGACAATGTATTAAAACTTTTTATCAAAGAGAAAGCACTTAAAGAGATTTAAGATACTAGTTTCTAAAATTATCTGGGGTAATGTTAGCTTATAACATGTTGTTTGTCAGCTGTATGGAGACAGGAGGGTCACATGCCTGATACGCTCATGATAAACCAACTGGGAAAATATCAAAAATAAATAAACAATTTCATATTCTTCAGTTTAGGAGTGAGGCTTCAGGTGAGGAGGAAGAAGATGAAATGGAGATGAGGAGGAGAGTAGAAATCGAGGAGGTGAGCGAGAAAAAACTAGAACGAGAAAAGGAAAATATAAATGTAAAAATGGTCAAATATAGTTTCAAACAAATACTGGTAATTTGAAAAATTCAAATAGATTATTACTGATACTACTATTTATCTAATGCTGCTGTATCGGATAAATCTTTTTTTTATCTTCTTCCATCCAAATCAGCAGGAAAGTGATACAAATTATTCTATATTAGTCCTTGATGACTGCTGGACCCAACAACACATCAGAATACAGGTATTGTGGGGGAAAAAGTAGAAGCGATGTGCACATGACATCACAAAACCAAACAAAACATTATCATAAAGAATCAATGTCACCAATAACTAAAATTGGACAGAAAAGGAATGTGCTGAAGAAACTGGATTGTAAGTTGCTAGAATGTCTGTCTGTCTCTATGAACACATAGAGACAGATAGACATTCTAGCCTTGCAACATATTTGTGAACTGTCTAGGGTGTACCCTGCCCCTTGATTTATGACAGCTCAACCCTGAATCAAAAATGGAAGAAGATGGATATATTAGATATTACAGAATTTTGATCAATGTCAGTCTGGTAGGTACTGAAATAGTGGAACAAAAATCCACACAGTTCACAAGAATAGACTGTATTTTTTCTATGATCACCCATCCAACATTGTCCCATTAAAAGTGGCACAATTTAGTACCGTTTGTGTGAATTTTTGAAACATTTAGCAGCCGACTCACAGTTGACGGTGATGTCTACAGTCTGCACGTCTGTGTCAATATCATTGACAGCTGTGCATTCATACGTTCCTGCTTTCTGTCTGGATATAGATGGGATTTCCAAGTATTCATCATCTGACACCAGATCCCCTGTGAAAGATCATACACAGAGAGAGAGATTGAAGAGGGTCATTTGCAGATAATGTGACAAGTCAACAGCTGTGGCCATGTTCAGTATTTTCACCAACTGTGTGCCTGCAGGACACCTTAAAAGGGAAGAAGGAATATATTGATTACAAGGGCTGATGGATCATTGCAGTTGTATACTATAACTATAATTCACCTAAGTCTACTGATTTGTGCTTCATTTAAATGCGATACACAGCAACAAAAATTGTAGTTATTTGTTTTGCTAAAAAAAGAGAAGCTCATTTCCAACTATTGGAGTGAATATGAGTGTGAATAGTTGTGAATAGTTGTCTGCAGCAAACTTGCAACCTTTCCAGGATGTATCCCACCTCTCCACCTTTCATTGCTAGCCCTGTGACCCTAAATTGGATATGTAGACAAAAATGAAAGGGTGGATTTTGGCAACAGCAGGAATGAAGACAGATCCTGATTGGGCGTGACAGGCCAAATTCTAATACAATGTGCCAAAACCTGCACTTGTAAATATGGCAAATCTGTCTTATTCTCATGTTTCTTGTAGCACTCTGTAGCACCAATTCTTGACCAAGACCAGTTCTTGATTTAACATTTTTCATAGGATGCTACAGAATTTGGTGATTAATGCTTTGTTTGGTGCCTACTCTTTATCACTCATCCGTCAGAATTTTCATGTTCTGTACTTTTGTGTGTGCCTCTCAAGAGTACAAGCACACTGGGACTACTACTGAGATCTGAGAATAAGAAGAGGGCAAAATCCCAGCCACACTTTTTTTCATTGTATCAATTTGACATGCTTGACAGAGACACTTAATACAGCACTCAACATAAAGAACAAAAGATATAATTGACTTCAAGCTTCCTCCCAAGATGCTGGAAGGCGACAGTAATAAACTGTGCATGGATTCACTTTGCTGGGTTTGGGGACATTATTGAATTGCACCTGGGAAAGCTGTTAAGGATAGAATGCCTCACTGACACACAGTGACACACTCACCTGATGTGGAGTATCAAGAGAGCTCACATAGGTGTACGGGTTCCACTCCGTTCCATTTATGCTCCTCTTGTTCCCTTTCTGCTTTCTCTCAAAAGAGGATAATAGAATTTGCCAATAGAGACTACAGTGTCAGTTAAAGCCACTTTGCAAATTCCACTGAGGTGAGTTAATCAAGATGATCAAGTGAAGACTTTTCAGGGAGCTTTTTGAGTGCCCTGACAAAAATAAATTACAATTGTCCATGCTGGAAGTTATAAATGCATTTACCAGTTTTTGCACACTATTGCTAAAAAAAAGACAAATATTTTGTCTTGGAGTGATGCTGAAATTGAATGATGCAATATGTCTGTAGTCAGGCATATTTGTTTAATGTGCATGCTAAAGGACATATTTGACCAGAAATTATTCCAAGATTCATCAGTGTTACTGGATGCCAAAGTAATGCCCTCTAAACTACATATCTGGTTAGACACCATGTTTCATGTTCAATGTCCAGGATGTTTGGACTGGATATGTTTTGCCTGAATTAAGGACTAGGAAATTTAAGATGGGTATCATCTGGATTTCAAAGAAAAGGTATGCAGTGTTTTCTAATAACATTATGCTGTGGAAGCATGTATAATATAAATAGAATTGGTTCCAGCACAGAACTCTGTAGAACTCGATTACTGACTTTTCTGCATGAAGAAGACACAAACTGGAATCTATCAGACAGATATGATTCAAATCACACTGTAGTAAGATATTGGTCATCAGTTTTGAATGCTGCACTAAGAACAAACACGGGGATGAGCACACTGTTCAACACCATAAGATGAGTGAAACTTGAGTGAAACTTAAAATAAACTAATAACTACTTGTTCAACATTTTTTGAAATAAAACAAAGGTCAGAAATCACTCTAGTTATCTAATACAGATCAAGTAAGGTCTTTTCAAGTAATGGCTTAATTACTCCCCTCTTAAGAGACTCTAGTGTGTCTTCTGTTAATAACGATAGATGGATCAGATTTAAAATTGAAGCACTAATTAATGGTGAGACTTCTTTCAACAGTCTGATTGAAATAGGGTCAAGGAGGCACACTGATCTTTTAGAAAAATAAATTATTGAAGTTAACTCAGAAAGATTAATAGGAGAGAAAGAGTCTAAGTAAATATCAGCTGTTAAAAAGTTGCTATACTTAATGATACATCTGTGAGGGAGTTGTGAGTAATTTTCCCCTAATGGGTAAATTTAGTTTGTGAGAAAATTTCTTGGCTCAGCAGAGCTCCAACTATTTATCAGCCTAGCAGAAGTGCTGAAAAGAAACCTGGGGTGTTCCTGTTTTTCTCAGAGGGGTTATTTATATTATATATTTATATATTTGTGAGTCCAAATGAAGATTTTCTAAATGAGTGCAATGCCATTGCCTCTACTCCATCTGTTTTGTGCACATTTGTGAGTTATACCAGGGAGTCAAACATCTCTGATTTCTTGCTTTCTTTTTAAGGGAAGACAGCATCTACAGTCATACCCAAAGAGGATCTAACACGATTAAGAAACTATTCCACCTCGGTGAGAGCAAAGATTTCAGTAGCTGCTTGGTACTGTGTTGGCACATGGATTGTAATGTGCTGTCTTCCTCGCTTCACACCCAAATGGTTGCAGCAGATAGCCTCTCTGCTGCATCATTCTGATGGAGGTTTCTCCCTGTTAAAAGGTCATCTGATTGTTGGGTTTCCTGTTTTCTCTGTATTATTGTAGGTTCTTTACCTTGCAATGTAAAGCAACTTGAGGTAACTGTTATGATTTGGTGCTTTATAAATAAAAATTGAATTTAACTTAAAGAAAAGATAACAGTGAAGGAATTACCTCCTTAAATATAGTTAAAGTGTGTTCGGAAGGACTTCTATTGTAATGAAATTTATTTTCCAGTGTCTAACCACTTATCATAAAGTGTTAAGAATGAAACCAATTAAGTCTAATAAAAATTTAAATGCAGTAATATAAGCTGTCATTTTTTATCATCTACATAGACGCTAAATGAAGATGTGTTTGGTTCTAGACCAAACCACCAGGCTGTGGTTTAACAGGCTAATTTGGCTGTAGGCGTGAACGTGAGTATAAATGGTTGTCTGTCTCTATGTTAGTTCTGTCAAACTAGTGACCTTTCCAGGGTGTATTCCATCTCTCACCCTATGCCACCTGAAATATGCTCCAGCTCCAACAAATCATAAAGGGTCTTTACTTCTTGCACTTCTTACAGTATATCCTTTCATCAAATCCTAAGCAGGTGACAAACACAACAATTTCAGCTGCTCATAGTAGTGTTTAAATATTAAAGTGGATAAGTTTTTTCTTTCAGTTTCACAAAGGTCAAAAACTATGACTACTCTCCTTTAATTTTAAATTAATCTTTCTGAGCAAACCAGTGCTGTGCAAATCTGGGATACCTTTATTGCACCTTGGTTAAATTCATTAATTTTCCCGTTCATTCTGGGTACTGCCTAGGCAGACAAATTTAGCAGTCAGATTGTGTGGTCTGTGGAAGATAGCAAGGATCACTTCTGATCTGCCACAAGCCCCTAAAGCCATCTATCAAAGGTGAGGGGGAGCTGGGTTATGGCTCGAAGAGAGCCTTGGTCCAAGTCTGAAATCATCAATCTTTACGCACTCACACACAGACAAACACACTCATGCGCGCGCGCGCACACACACACACACACACACACACACACACACAGATAGATACAGAGAGAGAGAATCTTTATATATTCACTCATTTATACCCCAGAGTGCTTGCCATAGCTGGCCTCACACTGAAAGGCCCAAGGCTGGAGAAAAGTTTCATTGCAGGTGGGAGATACTGGAATAGTATCAGTTTGGACTGCATAGTCCAAACTGCATAGACTGGGACATTTTGTTCTCTACTCAAAGCCTCTTTTAGTCCGAGCAACTGTGCACTGCGACTCTATCAATTCTTAATCGTAAACACCCTTATCAGTCAAATACTGGAACCAAAATGGATATCAAAATGGTATATAAAAAATACCAACTAGAAATTTAGTTCGAACAATTTCAGAGAAAACTACGTGAAACTAGATGGATTGTCTTTTATCTTACTTGAAAAAGTCAAAATAACAGCTTCTCAAGCTGATGCTTGTTTATTTATATTTTCCTCCGATACAAATTCCATACATTCATTCAGTCCACTTCACTAAATTCTAGTTTTATTTATTCATGCAAAGAGGATCTTCATTTTGCATTTCAATGGACCTTCTCAGAAACTGATTTTGAATAGATAAATAAATATAAGCAACCAGTCATTGCATCCATTTTTATGATAAAGAGTGCTGACATAAGAACAAAATAAAGAATGCTTCTGAAAAATTCTTTGTTTTACATACAGATTCTCGGTCAAAGCAGTGTTTTACAAACAGATAGCAGGCATAGTGAAGGTTTAGCCACAAAACACACACAGTCTTTTCAACAGATATCAGAGTTGTTATCTGAGCTGTGTCTATAAAAAATATATATCTTTCCATGATTGGAAAACTTGATGTGAAGACAAAAACAAAATAAGAAAAAAGAAACCTGGCATAAACCAAATATGTGACGAATGCATGGTCCACACCACAAAGTATTAAGTCACCAATATAAATAATCTATAACCAATATAAACAATCTATACTATTTGTAAATGTATGTATGTGTACTTTTCGACCCAGCATACTTGAAAAAAAATTTGGCCAATCTTCTTAAATCCCTAGCCACATCTGTATTTTAACTGACTAATAGACTGTACCTTTAAGAGGTGAAAACCTTCTGATGTTGAGCAGAAAGTTAAGCAGCAATGAAATAAAGCATTGGATCCACTAAATCAGATTTTATAGTATTAGTTCCCAGCAATGACAGTGCTTCAGACCCATGTCTCACAAGTCAGATTAATTTGCAAGTTTCCCTTATTATGAATAAATATTACAAAAGGTTGATGCGAGCACCCACTCTTCTGCAAAACCTATTTTAGGTCCAGTTGTCCACTATCAGTTTATGACCACAATACAGTGGAAAAGAAAATCTTCTCCTCCTTTCATTAGTTATTGATTTACCAGTCAAGAGAAAGGTCTAATAAGGCATTGTACTTCATTTTTACCATTTTAACCAACAATTCTTTCCTTTTCAAAAGCATGATGCTCTCCAATAAATATTCCTTTAAAGGCACATTCTATTGTAGTGCATGACCAATTGTATCTTGAGCTTGTCTGGGCAACCAGACACATTCCTTTTACTATTGGTTGAATTTTAAAGTTAAGTAATATGAAATGGAAAACCTTCTGATTCCTATTGACAGAAGTGAAACCAAAAGTAAATCAAATTAAACAGCAGGTTGCTAAAACATAGAGTCATAGACCAATGGTGGCCAATACTTCAATACTTTGCTTTCTTTGGTCTAGCAAGCAAGTAATAATAGAAAAATGCCACTCAGCACATACAATGGAACATTGGGACATTCAGTACTGAAAATTCTAATCTTCTCCCTAATGCTATACCATGTGTATTCTCATCATTCAAGCTATCATTCTGCCTCCAGAACATTTACATCCGATTATTACCTTTGATTTAATTTAATTACCTTTCAGTGAAACTTTAATTAATTAATTAATTAATTTTGTATTAATTAATCAGTTACAATACAAGTATTATGTAAAAACAGATAATTTTAAAAAGTGAAATCCACTATGGGTCAAACAAAGTCAGTTATAGTCGGGATTGGGTGGAAACAAAGAGGGACAAGAAAAGACACTGTAGATGCCATAGTCCATGGTAGTCTTAGTGTTTGGAGTCTGTTTTCCCTTTGAGTCTAAGTTGGCCAGGATTTTTCCTCCCTACGTGGTGGAGTCTGCTTCCTGCTCTTCAACCAAGCACATTCAATAGAATCTTATTAATATAGCACCAAATCATAACAACAGTTGCCTCAAGGCGCTCCTCATCAAACTAAAGTCCTCTGCTGTATTCAAGGACCAGTCTGCTACTGTTCAGTGGTAAATCAGCCCCCAAATGTTATTTGTCTTCGCTTGTTTTCTATTGTGTTGATCTCTGTGCTTTTTTGCCTCCAGTCAACCCCAGCCTGGGTCGAGAACCCACCACTTACCTGCACAACTCACCTGACTCTTTCGAACTGGCTCACTCCATCTGTCTACATGCACCTTTGTGAAGATTTCAGTCCCCAGTTAACCTCCCTACCCTCCTGGATGTCCTTACCTCATGGCCACTGGATTCCCTCCCCCTGCTAATCATTGGACAGGCAACATCTGACTCACCCACACTACCAAGTAAGCCATTGGTTCTCGCTAGTTATCTTTTGGAACTCCCCTATCTGGAATCACTGGATTAATGTCCCTTTCCTCTTCCATAGTGTCACTTCCTCCTTTGGATCCATTACTCTGTCTTTGTCGCCCTTGTGAATTCTACTTGTTGCAAAACATTATTGTAAATAAATCTTTTGAATTCTGTTGCATTTGAGTACTCTATTTTGCTTCGACCAGACCATGACAGCAAAAACATGATCTGTATATGAAAGATGCAATGTTACTTCTTCCACTGGCTTGTCAGGTCCTGTCTTTAAACTTTATGTTTTGTCCAGCACAAAAACCAACTGCTCTATATTATCTTATTTTACTCTTTATTTGCTCTTACTTCAATTTAGACTCTTTATTTAAAACACTTTAATTATGCTGTACTCCATATGTCCTGAAATTAGCAAACAAGTCCATAAATTCAGTAAAGATGTTTTAATGAGGTCATAGATTAAGTCTCATAGACTTCTAAATAATCACAGAGGAGCTGTTCTCTGCTGACCATTAGTTTAATGCACTTTTGGCTCCCCACACCCTCTAGCAGATCATTACATGAAGGAACCTTTTTTTTTTTAAAAAAACAAGCGCGTCCATGCTCACAGGTCTGCACACGAGTGATCACACCCACAAATTACACCCTTTTTGGCTCCTACCTCAAAGCACACTGTGTTCTGTTGATCTTATGTGCTGCAAGTTTAATGCACTTTTCCATTAACTCAAACACTACATCCATGTGTTCTAAAAAAACAGTATTAAGAAAATAAAGTAATACGCAAAAAAAAAGACATCATTAAGAAAAAAAAAAACACCAATATATCAAAAATCTGCTCTGCATCTAGATTTTTTAATGTATAAACAAATTACCTGAAGAGGAGATGAGCTTCCAGCTGATGGAAGGCTCTGGTTTACCACTTGCTTGGCACATCAGGGTGATGTTAGAGCCTTCATTTACCACAACATCTCTTGACAGGTTGGTGATTTTTGGTGGCACTGTGAAGGAAAATCAAATATATAAACTCAAGCGGTGATGTTACTAATCTCAAGAGGCACTTCTGAAAAAGGATATCACTATGACATATGTCATTATCATTATTATTATTTAGCATAATAATATTTGACATATTTCAGTTTGAAGTTTGACACTAAAAAAGGGCCTGTATATTAGAATGGAATCTGTCGCTTGCCAAAGACATGGATTTAGACAAGGAAAATCTTGCAAAGAGACACAATGAAGCTGCATTATAGGTACTGTATAATGCAGAACTGTGTTAGACTAAAAAACAAAAAAAATATTAAATCTTAAGCTCTGATCCATCAATTTTAGTTCATTCTTTTGCTCTCTTTGTTTTTGCTCTAGGGTTTTTCCAAGCACCTAAACGTAACACAAGTGAATATGGATTGTCAGATTAATCAGCCATGAAAAAAATAATGATTGAAAATTTAAAATGTTCATTATTGTTTCCCAAAGGACTTTGAATGTTATCAGCCAATTAAATTGACATTTTTAGTTTTCAGAACTCCCATAGATATCACCAGCAGGTGCTCACCTATTACCAGTGTAGGGACTAACGCGTTGTTAAGTAACGCGTTACAGTTATTATTGTGGTCACGAGCACGGTAACTAGTTATTATGCCAAAATCAGGAACAATCGTTACTGGTTCAAGGGTTCAAGGTTCTTTATTTGTCACATGCATAGTTATACAAGTATAACACACAGTGAATTGTGGCCTGACACGCTCCTCGACATGTGCAAAAATTGGGGGGGGTGTAGAAGAAGAACATTATATATATCTACATATAGTATATACACTGGGTGAATGTGCAGTAGTAGCAGCAAGCAGGTGAATTCTGTACATTAATATGAATAGACATTGACT